GCGTCCGCACGGCTCCGTGCGTGTCTCGCCCGGCTGGGGGTAACTTACGTACAGGCTGCCTGTTTTCTGCGAAGCCCTTCCGCAGGAAGATGCAGGCCGGCCCCAGCAGGTTGTGCATGACGGCGCAGTTCTGGGCCAGCACCATGAGCGGACCCTGGTACTCGCAGGCCGACGGCCCCTCTTCGCTCGTCTGGACAGCCTTATAGCACGTCTTCTCCTCATGGCGGATCTTCCCAGCCAACCAGCAGCAAGCAAACAACACAACAGAGGATGTTACCTCCCCGTCTCGCCCAGCCTGTCCTCTGAAGTCTTACTGAACCGCCTCGCGGAGTCATTATTGCTAGGCTGCCTTCATCTCGTCCGCACTGCGTCCCACCCACCGATCCACTGTGACTGGTACAGGAGCAGTAAGTCCACGAGCTCACTTTCAAAAGCTGATGAGAGTACAGCCAACCAGGAAAATTTCACTTTGAAACGACATCAGACTCTCAGTGCTGCACACGTCTATCCGGAGCAGCCCACAGGGCCAGGCGCCCGCTCTAAGCCCCGGAGTTGATGACTCCTGGCAGGAGCTGCAGAGGACGAGCGCGCCCCGGCAGCACCACGCGCCGGCACAGGCGAAGCTGCTGGCAGAGCCGCCCCTGCCAGGGCCTCGCCAGACCACGAGGCAGAGCCTGCCCGCAGACACGGAGTTAGGCTCCAGGTTACATTTCAGCAACACAGCCTCACACACTTTGTAATGTTATCAGAAGGCCCTTTATAGGACCGGTGGCTTTGCCGGCTGCAGTCTCGCACTCCCCGTTCCACTTCTAATTAGTGACGTTCTCGGGGTCTCAGGCAGTTACCGCATTTACAGTCCCAAAGGCGAGATCAGTCACAGGCACGACAATTTTGTCCGTTTGCATTTCCACAGATCATTTTCCTAAGTGCACGCGTCCTACTAAGCTCAGGCTCCAGAATAGAACCCAGCACTGGATTTTATAAGGAGCCGCTGCTTTCCTTTTATAGAAATGCATTTCCCTGGCTCTGCAAGAAAAGTCTTATCCTGATATTCCCATGCAGCTATAAAAAGCCAGCACAACCCACAGGACCCTTGGTTTTACAGAATAAACATTAATCATGCATCAGATTCCTGCTTCAGGAATGAGTTCTGCTTTCACAGACAGTGCTCCCAGGGGTCATCAGCAAAGCTCTGTCAATAGCCATTGTCTCTCGCTATTAACCCTTGCCTTAAGGGCTTCCTTTCTTTTTCAGGCTGAAAGATCAGCTCGCCCCACCTCACAAACACACTTGTCCAAACCTATTGCCTCCATCTGCTGTCTGCCATGTGCTCTGATACTGCACACCTGGTTTGTAGCTCACATTTTTATACACAGTCTTACACCAATCTGCTCGTGTATAACGTCATGTGAATATCCAGCATCAAAACAAAAACAACTCAGAAAGCGAGCCATGGGGAAAGAAAATGAGGAAGCAGAGAAGCGTTTTCATTGCAGTCATGGATGAGGAGGAAATCTGTCGCCGATTACGTGTGGCACATAGGACCCTTCTCCTTAAAAACATGAAAGATGAGCATCAGTCTGCAAATAGCATATCGCCAGCTCAGCTAAATGTCATGGCATCTGTGCTGAACTGCATAGCTTCATGACATCATGCAATATATTTTCAAAATCATCAGCTTTTTATTTTTCAGTTTAATATACCGAATAGTATGAATCAGTTAAAGTAGCCCACATCAGTCCGGAGCATAATTCCACTGAAGTCAAGCGAAAGACGGGAGGCCGCTAGCCTATAACTAATCCTCGCTTTCTGACCCTTCCAGTCAATAGAGCTATTATCAAGTCACAGAGCCGTACCAGCAAAGGTCAGCCCATTATTTTCCTGCATGGATAGAGATTGCCGATTTGATGAAACAGTTGCCAGGAGCGGCAGAACAACTCAGCCATACAACCCGCCGCGGTGCCAAGGGCCCGGCCGAGCGCGACCCGTCGGGGGGCTCCCTGCCCAGAGAGGCCTTCTCGTCTCTACTGGGGGCCCCTAGCAGGAGAGGCACCGCGGCTTGCTGCTGCCGCTTGGGGGATGCTGCGGAAAGGGAAGCTGCCAACAGCAGACGTGCTGGGGATGAAGCCTGAACGTTATCATCCGAACGGGCGAGGAACGCAGGTGCCGATCAGTCCCAGGCCAAGCCAGCCCGTGCCCGGAGGCGATTCTGAACTTTCTGGTGGAGATCCTGTATTCGAGAGATCAAACTCTGTTACCCAAGAGCAGCTTTCACACACACGTTGCCCAGAGCTCCTCCTCCTCTGTCTAGCTACCACTTATGCTCCAGCTTGTGCTACAATCCCTTCTCTTTTATAGAGAACTCGATTTTGTTGCTGCCTTCAAAACAGTAAATGCTACTTGGCACTGTGGTTAAGAAGCTGCTAAGGAGACTGTCTGGGAGTCAGAAGACCTTTCACCGCTTTTTTTTTTTTTTTTTTTTGTCCTCTTCTCCTCTACCATTTCAGCAAAATACAAGAAAAATATAAGCAGGTAATGCCCCTCCATCACAGAAGAATCCAACCTTCCCCCAAGAATAGATATCAAACGCAAGAGGCCTTCACATTCCTCAGCTGTTCTCCTAATCATCTGAAGTCTCTGTTTTCACTTGCTGGGGAGAAACACATGGTGGAGATCATAAGCAATAAGAAAGTTGTGCCTGGTAGTTCTGGCTTAACAGCACCCAAACGCAGGCGGCTCTTCAGTCCCAGGACATGAACGCCTCAAAGGAGCTTTACTGAAGTGGGGATAGGGTGAGAACAGACAGGGAGGAGTAACAGGAAGAGAATGATTGCTTCTTCCCAATAAAAGTACCACCCAGGGCCCAGCTCCTCCTCTTCCTCACTGAGTTCCCTCTCAGTTCGCCCAAGTTAAAATCTGAGAAGAAAAAGACCAGGATTACAAAACAGCCAAAGGAAGTTGTCCAATATATGAGTGGTTCTGCGAAGTATCCAGTGTAACCGTGTGCGTTGGAATCAAAAGAACGAAAGAGCTTCAGGACCTCTCAGGATTAGTCTCCAAGGCCTTAATTCACAGCTAGCGGGCAGTGAAGCCTGGGAGATTCTCTAATGTAGCTTTGGAGCCTTCTCTCTTTAGTCCTGCCATCCCGGGCCTTGCAACTAGGCACAAAGTGCGTTATTCCAAGCAGCAATTAGGAATGAAAACATAAGTAAATAAAAGACTGATCACACAGAGTTTATAAGACCCTGAATCCATTTTGAGTTAAGCAGCCAGGTCACACTTTCAGTCGCAGCCTCCTTGATCGTGTTGAGCACAGCTGCAGTCAACTCCATTTGTTGCAAGTTGGGGGCAACTTACAAGTAGCCAAGGTGGGGTTTTCAGATGTGCAACATTTTTTGGGTAAACCTCAAGTACTTCTGCCTCTTCCCCAAGGTCACGCCGCGCTAAGGACCAGTCCCAGCACTGCCTACCTGCTTGGCGGTGCACGCTCTCCTTGCGTATCCCGGCTGCCCTGCAGCTGCACGCTGCCATCTCTGGCCGTGTTTATAGAGCCGAGGCAAGAGGCAGGCTGAGTTTCTGCACCAAAGAGGCAAATCCCAGCCCAGAGGAGACTCCCTGCTAGGGAGGCCCCCTCCCCAAGAACGCCTCCCAGAGGGGCTTTTCCCTGTGGCAAGGTCTCCTCGGTGGAGCACCCTGATGGTGACGCATTTCCCTGTCGGCCAGGTGTCCACAGTGGCAGTGCCTCATTGCAGTCCTTTCAATGCTTAGCATAACCTTCTCATTTACAAGGAGTGAAGTGAACAGTTTTTTGCTGAGTTATTAGACTGTCGGCGCTGCCAAGCGAGACCTGTTCGGCTGATGGGTTCATTGTGCTGCAACACCTTCCTCACTCAGACAAGGAATATCACCGGGCAAATGATTCCCATTTCAGTCCAGCCCCTAACAGCAGAACAACTCCTGGATCTAATTCATCCTGGGGTTATTTTAAAATCTAAGCACCGAGCAGCCTGTGGGTTGAAGCCTAACAGATACACATGGCAGCTTGGACATGCAGTACAGCTGGGCCCAAACATGTGCGCACCCGGGCCATGCTGACGTGTGACATGACACATGAACACGCAGTTACGGCCCAGTGGGTCCACTCACAATCAGAGGCATGGACAAACAGAAAAGCGTGCTTCTGGAACCGAATACACACGGACAAAATTACACGGGTGCATACCCCAGTATTGGTATGCAGAGGAGCACACGTATGCCTACACACGTACTTATGTGAGGATATAAGCGTACAAACACAGACGCAGCCACCCAACCATGCAGACGTGTGTGACCCGCACAAATTCCCCCATATGCTCACGCACCCCTGAATGCATACGTAGAGACATGAATAGCTATGGACACACGTATACTTCAGATATGCTCCTTGAAATGTGCATATTCTTACACGCACCGACAGGGATACACGTGAACACACACACGCAGTCACAAGCACGTGACTATGCGTCCCTGCAGAAATGACATGCAGACTAGCCTCATGCAGACCCTCCTCCGTGTTTTAAGCACATGCACGCGCATACACAAACTCACATGTATATACGTACGTTAGGATGCCAGTACAAAAATGTGTGCCAGTGTATTACCTACATAGACGAGCACAAACTTGCACGTACACAGTGGGGAGCTGTACACACACACACACAGAGGACGGACCCACGCCGGCTCCTGCGCGTGCATACCCACACATACATTTACACACGTCGTGGCACTCGGCATCCCGGGCCCCGATGGCTGCACTTGCTTGAGCAGCTCTTACAAAAAAGACTCGTGAAGAGAGCTGAACCCTTCGTACACATCTCGGCATTTCTCCCACCTCCCGTTCCCCTCTGCCCACGACGTCACCCATCCCAAGAAGCAGGGCAGGAAACGCACAGTGCACTTTGATTCAGGGAACATACCTTTTTTGAGAGGTTTCTCAGTGGAGACTTCACACAGTTGCCCATAATATGTTGAGTCTGCCTTTCCGGTGGACTTGGTTATAAAGGAACTGAAGCAATTGATCCCATTAAAGGTATTCCTTGGGAGCAAAGCAAGAAAGGCAGCGCCAGGCAAATCCAAACAGCTACTGGCTGCTGGGGCTTCCCTCTTCAGGGAGCTTTTTCTCTCTCTGCCTCTCTCTCTCCGTGTTTTTACTTTATGTTCACTTTCTTGAAGAGATGAAGCAGGAAGGAGAGGGAGGGGAGAGAAACAGACAGAAAGAGAGGGAGAGAGAGGGAGAGAGAGTGAGAAGGGGAGAGAGAGGGAGGCGGATGTATAATCTACATCAGATTAATGTTCAAATCCCTCCCACCCCCCTCAATCTGCAGGCAAGATTGTTTCACTCACGGGAGAGGGCTGATTCAGGGAGAATTAAAACGGAGAGGCACCGCAAGAAGTGATTTCAGTGATGAGTTGGGTGAATCCAGCTAGTTTGGGTGCGCACAGCCTCTGAACATCACATCCTCTAGCTCCTTACCCACCCCCACTTCTAACTCCCTTCAGCTTTGCAATCACCGGAGGGCCAGACTGGCCACCAGGCAATCCACTTAGAGGCTTGGAGCAAAGTCCAGAGCTCATTTTGGAGCAGAAATGGACCATTTATCTGAGTGGGACCAGTTTCAGCTTATAAATCATAGCAGACCTGGAGGTCCCTCATTCTTTTCCTGCCTCCGTCGGAGCAAGCCGGGCGCAGCAGTCCAGTGGCCTGAGGACGTTTGCAGCCCCATGACCGGTAACTTTCAACCACGAGGGAGAGACCTTGAGCCAGTCTCATGGTAAAGTCTTTTGAGCTTTCTGCAAGTAGAGATCAACTGGTGGTTTTCCTGCATACGTCTGTCAGAGATGGGCTCAGATCTGAATCCTAAATCTTAATAGCTTGACAAGGTGCAACAAAGACTTTAGACTTCTGATCCACAGTTCACAGGTCATTCCTTTTCCAAGCACCCAAGTCCTGGGCTCCACAAGGGGCTCCTATCCCAGACCTGGCTCTGAACCGTGGGCTAACGGAATTATCTCTGGAAAAAAAAAAGATGAGCCCCCAATACGTTTTCCTGCGTTCTCAGGCTGAGCGTAACAGCGTTCTGTCTGAAAGAAGATTTAAATTGCATAAAAGACTCACCATCACCCCAGGCAACAGGATCTGAACAGGATAGTGAATGCATCCTTAACTGTGAAGCCACCATTGCTGCAGCTCCATAGCGGTAAGAAGCCATGGCATGAAGAGCTACCTCCTCCAATAACCGCAGAGACCAAGATGACACTGAGCCTGTACCCCACCTATGCCACAGGCTGGTAGGACACTCAGATGTTCAGCTGAAAGGTTTCACCACCTTCTTTGCAAGTGCGGTTCCAAACAGAAGGCTCTGCAAAGACCTCACCCATGGGCTGAGCACTTGTACCACATGCTCTTCTGTGCAGCAGAGAAGGACTTACCCTCCTGGCAGCTCTAAGGCTGTAGGACAGAGAAGGATGAACTCTCAATGTCACAACAAAGATGGGGTGCTGTGGGAAATGTCGAATAATTGCAAGGTGAATCAACAGTTGTTTTAGAGCCTAGAGCCTTCTTCCACTTGAGGACACTAGTTTAGGAGTCCAGCCATGGCAAGAGTCAACAGCTTCTCCAGTTCCCGTCACAGTCAGAAGCACAGGACAATGTGGGATATCCTGTTTCTCACTCTTCCTTGTCCTAGCCACTTTCCGAGAGTGAAAGGAGTGAAACAGCCTCCCCTCGGGTCCCCTCCGTGCCTTCCTCAGCGCACTGACTGGGAAGGAGCGGCGTGAACACCAGGAGCCGTAGATCCTCCAAAGCGAGCAGCACACAAAGGCTGTGGTGGCAGATACTCGGAGACATCTCTTGTCCCCCAAGGCAAATTGAGAGGGACAGAGAGGATGGAGAAACTCTGGCCTGGAAGATCTCCATAGCAGAGCTCACCCCTACCAGGCCGTGAGGCAAAGCTGTTCATGAGCTGGACCTGCTGCCTGCTGTCGCAGTTTGAGGCTCCCTGATGCAGGGGTAAATACAGACTGACATGCTGGGGGCTGTGCCAGCCCCGGCCCTCGCGGCGGGGGACGTGGTGGGGGATGCCGAAACTCCCAGCTCCGCTCAGGGCTGCCATCTCTAGCTCTATTTCTCTTTCCCCTCCTAAAGCAGCTAATGGGAGGCTCGTCTACCCTCAGCCAAAGTGCTGGTCGTTAATAATGTTCTCTGTCAGTTGGAGCCATTCCCCAGGCTCCTTGTTTATTGACAAAGTGCTTGTCTCCCTTTAGCAGAAGCTGCCACACAACGAGTGAGGCGCCGGGGCTCCTTCCCGAGACAAACGACTCCAATTCCAGAGCAGAAAGAGGAGAGAGAATCGCCTCCCTGCTCCTAATGAATCTCCCTTTTACAGGCAGCGAGGAGGCCACGAACGCTCTGCAACTGAGAAGTGCCATCTCCTGCCTCCTCCCAGAGAGAGAAGAAGCTGAGCAAGACAGGCAGGCACCCTGGCCGCAGGGCAGGCCCAAGAGTTCAGCACAGCCCTCGCGCTGTTAGGGACAGCTTTGCAAGATGCAGATTGAGCCTTACAGAGCTTGTAGCAAAAGCTGAGATAGTGACCTTCTAAATACGAGCTTGTACCAGAGCTTTGCGGGCCAGCCACCGCAGCAACCTGCCCTTCTTGCCTGCTCTCCTGCTTTTCTTCCAGAGAGCCCTGCAGTTGCAGGTAGTTGTGGGCAGTACGGGCAGGGCTGAGAGACCTGCTGCCGGGTTTGGAAGGGAGCTAGCAGTCCGGAAAGGGAAGAGGCAATGGGGGGCCCACCTGCACCTGGTTTGCAGCACAGTCACGGTCCTCTGACTCTGCAAGAACAACTCCGGCAGTGCCGCAGGGGGCCTGAGTGACGTGATTGTGAACCGTTTTCTTGTCTCCTTATTTACCCTGAATCTCTTAAGAGCAATTGGGCAGCACATCACTATCTAGCAGGCAGATCCTGCTGACCTTTAAGCCTGAAAATCACTTTCTACATTGGGATCTCGTTCTCATCTCCACTACGGGCAGCTTAGAGATATGCAGGAAAGTGGGGTTGGCAGAAAGGTCATTAGAAGATTAGGTTAGAGGGAGCCTATTTTCTCCCTTCCTCCAACCAAGGCTGCTGCAAGAGAACAGGATGCTGAGAATAAGTGTGTCAAAAACATTTGTGTGTAGGTGCTGATCTGTGGGTATGCCTATATCTGGGGTAGTCAGTGTGCGTGTGGGAGGGCTGCACATGCATGTATATTGGTTTTCCCACACTGTTCTTTGTGGCAATCACACTGTCCTTTTAAGGTCTGGGGCTCTCTTGTAAACTTTCTAAAAATCTGCAGGAACTTTGTGAAACGCAAATCTTACCTATGTTCCTGCATCCCCCCGTTTCCCCTCCAAGCCATGGTGCAGAACAGAGCCCTTTGTGGATGCAGTCTGGCTCAGAGCGAGCTCCGCACGCACGGAAAGAGCTTGGCACATTGACCGACCTGAGCAGGGAGGAGCCTGGGTGACTTGGCATGGGACAAGCAGTGATTTAGACGGTTTAATATGTCTGGATTCTTTAAAAAGAAGCAGTGCTGTGCTTGGGGCTGGCACCTTTGGTACCAATACTCATTCCACAGGAAAATGTTGGATCGCACTATGGCTAATCCTTTGGTAGCTGCCAGAGACTTTATCCAGTGACAGCAAATATCAATAGCCACAATAGAAAGATCAAAAGTCAATTCAAAATTTGGCCTCCATTATCTGACTGCAGCTTCGCTTGGCAAAAGTTTCCAATGGAAGTGTGATTTGTAAAGCAAGACCGTTCAGATGCCAGGCCAGGCTCAGCGTCCGGTCTTTGATTTGCTGGGACATTAGATCAGATTGTTGCTTGTGACACAACACAAACCATCGCTATAGCAGGACAATATTAGTACGAGGGTTAATCTCCAACAGATACATCGTAAAGCAGGGAAAAGTCACTCCTAGCAGCTTTTCACTGAAATCGGTAGCTTTACCTAATGGCCCGCTGCAGGCTTGGAAGATGCCACTATTTAATGTCTTAAAATATGCCACCTTATTTAATTTGTCCTGACAGGGTAAGAATTTCTGGTATACTTTTTCTGTCCCAAAGTGGAGAGTGCACACAGTGATTATTAGCTTCCAAATTTTCTCCCCACCACCCTTTAGCTTGTCGCTATAGATCTGTATTTTACAAGAAACAACCCAGTCTTGTTTACTGGATGACCTTAGATCACCTTATCGTTTGGTTTTATTAACATCCTCACATTGTCAGTGCTGCTGGGGTCCTTGTTTTATAGCTCCCCGTCACTGGAACATGCCCTGGCACTCCAGACTTCTGTGACTTCCTTTTCTTCTTTTACATACGGCCCCCGAGTGTTTTTGCTGCATATCAAGTTGTTTCTTCTGACCTCAAATGAACCTTGGACGGTTCCTCGTTCCAGCCAGATAAGCACAGGTCCATCTCTTGGGGAGGCACCAGCAGGTACTGGCGAACGCAGCCCAGATCTTCATCCGGAGGGTTGAATATTTCTTCAGAGAGTTTGGGAACTTTCTTTGCTGTCAGCTGTTCCGGGAAGAAAGTGTTGCTGACTCATGCTGTGCATAATATTCTCCTCCATTAGAGCAATTGGATCATATTCAATCACAAACAACAGAAAGGTTATTAAAAAGACCTAAACTACCAAGGATATTTTCCATCACTCTCAAGGTAACAAAGCCTTGATTGGCAACTTCTGTTCAGAACAGCTTTGTCTGTAATTGGCCTTATTCCATGCTAGATGCAGATGGGAATGTCCCATTTCCTGACACCTTCTATGCAGATCTGGTACAAATATTTTGCACTAACCCAACTTCCAGGTCCCACGCAGAAGATACATTGGCTGGAGCACCATGCTTTGTGGATATTTTCTGCTTTTCAAGATCATCAATGGGCTATAAAAGGTCAAATACAAGTTTGAAGCCCAGAAGCTGCTGTAACAGCTTGCCACGTATATGCAGTATAAAGACGGTTTAAAACAAACCTTACATGGTCCCTTCCCTCTGCTGAGGAATAAGGGAATTGCGAATCTCCCTCTCTGCCTGGGATTGCTGTAGAAGTAGCTAGTTCTGCCTCGGCTCCCTTACCTCTCTCAAAGTACAAAAGGACTGAGCGGGCGGGAACATTTGGCTGGCCCACTGAAGCGCTATAGAAAGCGTGGTTGATTATTAGATGAGCAGAG